TCTCTCTCTCTCTCTCTCTCTCTCTCTCTCTCTCTCGAAGAGACAACACAGAGTTTTCATTTCTGATATTTTGACATCTGCCCTGGCTGAAATAGGAACTGGCGTTCCTCAAGGGAGTGAACTAGCGCCACAGCTATTCTTAATGTATATATTTGATCTTCCAGAAATAATTGTAAAATGTCACTCGGGTCACTACCATATGTACGCTGATGATTTTCAGTTGTATACCCATTTCTCTGTAAATAGCTTTAAGAACTTACTTGAAATGCTAATTGGTGATGTATGCATTGTAATTGATTTTTGTAGTCGACATAGTCTAGTGCTGAATGTCTGAACGACGCAAGCCATCATACTTGGCACCCAGCGGTATCTCACAATTCTACAGGAGTCTGATGTACCTTAATAAATCATCAAAGATTGTAGGAGTTTTCTGTGACTCAACTCTGTGCTGGTCTTCTCATTGTGTCAATATTGTTGAAAAAGTCTTAAGCATACTCGCTCGGCTAAAGTGAATGTTTTCATTCACTCCTCTTACTATAAAAAAATTGCAACATCCCTATTTACGCCTCATTTCGAATATTGAAGTGCATTGTTCACAGATTTATCTGCTACAAATAATGTCAAACTTCAAAGACTGCAGAACGTCTTCATTAGATATTACCGGTGTTTCACGGTTTGAACATATTAACCCTGCTATAAACAACTTAGCATTTTTAAACTTGAGGATCAGCGATCTTTGCACGTTGCTACGTTAATCTGGAAAGTTGTTAAATTTATTTCACCACTGTATTTGTTTAAAAAGATATAACTTCGCTTCTGAGATCAGGTTGCGTGCAACCAGAGCGCACAGCAAAGAGCTAGTCATACCGATCTACAGAACGGAAAAAGATCATTTATCTTTCACTTTGCAATCAAGTAAAATTTGGAAAAGTTTGAAACTGTTTAACTATCAACACTTGTCACTCGGTACATTTAGAGATGTCATCCACAAAAATGTTCCTACTGACCTGCATATGTGCTAATTATTTGTTAACTTAATTTATTTCGCTTCACAATTGTGTGACATATTTGCCTCTGTATTCTTCCTGCTCTGAGAGCGGGGACCAGTGTAGCGGGCCTTATTAGCCATTTTATGGACCCTAAATTAACCGATTTAATTCAATTCTCTCTCTCTCTCTCTCTCACACACACTCTCTCTCTCTCACTCACACACACACACTCACACTCATACACACACACACAAACTCATTAACTCTATGATTTGTAGCACTAATTTTGTACAATGATAAACTAAGTGTGCAACTGCTTTACACTTGTAAGTGGGCAACTGGAAGCTGAATACTTGCAGGTGTTCCACAGTAGTGCACTTGGAAGAATTCATCTTGCAGTTCCACACTTACAAGTGTTGGGCAGTTGCACACTTGGTTTAGCAGTGTACCAGGCCTTAATTTGTTTTTGTGCAAATCGATGTGCAGGGAGATCCCTTTACAAGTATAATTTATCATGCCCATGGTGACGATGCTGTACAGGATTATTGTCCTTGGTAATTTAGCGTGACCTTGCATTCTCGGGCAGATTTTGATGCTTCAGCCAGCAATGCACGTTTGAAAACTGCCTCGTCAGTGCGTTTTCAGTCGTTTGAGGCACGTTTATCGACTCATCGTGTTTATCGTGTTCAGGTGCTTATTGATACATCTGCAAGTGGCAGTATAAAGGCTGTCTCCCCTCACACTCCGACACAGTACGTCTGCGAACGACAACGATGGCGCTCAAGTTTGTTGTTCTGGCACTAGCCATCTCTGCTGTATGTATGTTTGTGTCTGCACTGACCATCCTTGAACAGTGGCAATTTATTGACTTATGAGTGAGAGTGTGTCCACTTTATTACATGTGTCTTTCTCAACTTTTATCGACGATTGCTTGCAAGTTAAAAATGAATCGATCAAAACGTTTTGAGAAAGTGTTTCAGTGGTAAGACAAGTGTTTCATTTTGCACGTCAATTGATGTCAAAGTTCAAGTGTGCTAAGTTTAGACACATTGTGGTGTCTACGTCAATTGGTGTGCAAACTTTCGACATGTCCGAGGCGTATAGTAGCTGCACATCAAATGGTTCCCACTTAAAGCGTGGAACTGTGTTTGTCGAAGTTTGCAAAATTTAGACGTTAACAAGACGTTATACACTGCTCGTCAAAATTAGCGGATGGATTTTTCGACCTGACGCAGTTTCTTCGTTTTTAGCCCGCCCTTCTGCTTTTAAAAAAGCATTAAAGCGGGCTTATGCA